GCTGACTTTTATTTTTTTCACCTGGAGCTCTGCTTTAATGCTGGATTCAGTATGTCAATAGCATTAGCAGACCAACTTTGGTTTTTGAGCCCTCAGTCAGGCTGCATATACAGTAATAGTACATATATTTTTTTTTTCAATGTAGTGCTTGAGAGTCCCCATATGGAAAAAAAATATATATTTGAAATATATTTTAAAAATATTCTTCCCAAATATATTGACATATAATAATAATATTTGAAATGCTACAATTTATGTGTGTGTGTGTGTATATATATACACTGCATGTATGTAATATATATTTAAATAATATTCCTCCCAAATATGTAGACATATATTAGAAATACTATAATTTTGGCCATATTCTATATATATATATATATATATATATATATATATATATATATATATAATGTATGTTGATATGCGTTTTTATTACAAAAAATATATGAAAAATATTTTTAAAAATACATTTCAACTATACTGTATGTCTTCAAAAATACAAATCTACATTTTTGGAATGCATTTACAAATATATGTAAAATATATGTTAAAATGACTTTTTTATATGTTAAAAAAATCTGAAGAATATATTTTAAAAATACATCTTTTTTTTTTTAAATATATTCTTTCGATTTTTTTCAACATGCAGTGTACATGCACATGCAGTATATACAGTGGGGATCGAAAGTTTGGGCACCCCAGCTAAAAATTTGTATTAATGTGCATAAAGAAGCCAAGGAAAGATGGAAAAATCTCCAAAAGGCATCAAATTACAGATTAGACATTCTTATAATATGTCAACAAAAGTTAGATTTTATTTCCATCATTTACACTTTCAAAATAACAGAAAACAAAAAAATGGCGTCAGCAAAAGTTTGGGCACCCTGCAGAGTTAATAGCATGCACTGCCCCTTTTGCAAAGCTGAGACCTGCCAGTGTCATGGATTGTTCTCAATCATCGTCTGGGAAGACCAGGTTATGTCAATCTCAAAGGTTTTAAATGCCCAGACTCATCTGGCCTTGCCCCAACAATCAGCACCATGGGTTCTTCTAAGCAGTTGTCTAGAAAACTGAAACTGAAAATAGTTGACGCTCACAAAGCTGGAGAAGGCTATAAGAAGATAGCAAAGCGTTTTCAGATGTCAATATCCTCTGTTCGGAATGTAATTAAGAAATGGCAGTCATCAGGAACAGTGGAAGTTAAAGCAAGATCTGGAAGACCAAGAAAAATATCAGACAGAACAGCTCGCAGCATTGTGAGAAAAACAATTCAAAACCCACGTTTGACTGCACGATCCCTCCAGAAAGATCTGGCAGACACTGGAGTTGTGGTACACTATTCCACTATAAAGAGATACTTGTACAAATATGGTCTTCATGGAAGAGTCATCAGAAGAAAACCTCGTCTACGTCCTCACCACAAAAATCATCGTTTGAACTGTGCAAATGAACATATAGACAAGCCTGATGCATTTTGGAAACAAGTTCTGTGGACCGATGAGGTTAAAATTGAACTTTTTGGCCAGAATGAGCAAAGGTACGTTTGGAGAAGAAGGGGCACAGAATTTAATGAAAAGAACCTCTGTCCAACTGTTAAGCAAGGGGTTGGATCAATCATGCTTTGGGGTTGTGTTGCAGCCAGTGGCACAGGGATCATCTCACGAGTAGAAGGAAAAATGGATTCAATAAAATTTCAGCAAATTTTGGATGGTAACTTGATGCCATCTGTGAAAAAGCTGAAGTTAAAGAGAGGATGGCTTCTACAAATGGATAATGATCCTAAACACACCTCGAAATCCACGGGGGATTACATCAAGAGGCGTAAACTGAAGGTTTTGCCATGGCCTTCACAATCTCCTGACCTCAACATAATTGAAAATCTATGGAAAGACCTTAAAAGAGCAGTGCGTGACAGACAGCCCAGAAATCTCAAAGAACTGGAAGACTTTTGTAAGGAAGAATGGGCAAAGATACCTCAAACAAGAATTGAAAGACTCTTGGCTGGCTACTAAAAGCGTTTACACAAGCTGTGATACTTGCCAAAGGGGGCAGTACAAGATATTAACTCTGCAGGGTGCCCAAACTTTTGCAGACGCCATTTTTTTGTTTTCTGTTATTTTGAAAGTGTAAATGATGGAAATAAAATCTAACTTTTGTTGACATACTATAAGAATGTCTAATCTGTAATTTGATGCCTTTTGGAGATTTTTCCATCTTTCCTTGGCTTCTTTATGCACATTAATACAAATTTTTAGCTGGGGTGCCCAAACTTTTGATCCCCACTGTGTGTGTGTGTGTATGTATGTATATATATATATATATATATATATATATATATATATATATATATATATATATATATTTATTGAAATATATTGAATATGGCCATATTGAAGCATTTCAAATATATGTCAATATATTTGGGAAGAACATTTTTAAAATATGTTTCAAATAAATTTTTCTTCCATGTGAGTCAGATGGCAGCACAACACGGAGCACAGTGGTCTGGGTCTCCCCAGTGGCCTCCCAGTGCTCTAGTCAGCAGAACTCATGCTCCCTGAGCTTGGGATCTTCAGTTGTCCATCAAAGACTACTCCATTGGCGGGGTGACAATACTTCAACGATTTCACTGCAGAATGAGCAGCATTGTCACCCTGTTAAAGGAAGTAGAAAAAAAATAAAAATCTACTGGCAGGATCATTGGAAAATAAAACTATGTTTCATGGGGGACTCAGAAGAACAAAAACTGCTGTGTTAATGGTAGTAACAGACTGCATCATATTTTTTTAATTTGCCTACAGTTCCACTTTACATCCTTCCGTCTTTTCACATAACGTGATGCTAAAAGTTGTCATTCTTACATGTCCCAGATGCATAGGCCCCATCATGCAGCTACATCTGTTTTCAGGCAGAGGAACTGATTGGCCAGCTGCCTCTGAATGTCCTCCTTTGAGCTCAGATATTTGTGTGTACAGTTATCTGTAATTTTGTGTAGATTTTGTTTTTTACAAATTAAAGTTGTTGTAAACCCTGACATATATTCAGTGAACTGATACACAGAGATGAAACAAATCCTCCTATATAAGTTGCACCTGTTTACCTCCAGTCCTCCTTTTTCTAAATCCATTCAAAGTCCAGAATTTATACAGCTTGTCTGAGTTACATTCTTTGGAGCTCAGTGAGGAGAGCTCTGAGAGCCGATTGGAGGGAAGAGAGACACACCCCCTTCACACAGCACACAGGAATAGAGCTGAGGCTGTCAATCAGCTGGAGGTCCCTCCCCTGTCACCATTTTGCTCTTGGTGTCAGGAAAACTTGTCAGATGTTACTCATGATGAAAGCAGAGGAATGAAGCAGCAGACAGAAATGAAACTTAGTGCTCTGGATTGAGACAAGTAGACACTATTGATGGATATGCTTCGTTCATATTTCATGCCTGAGGTTTACGGCCACTTTAAGAAAACAGATTGGGGGATGGTAATTCAAAAACAAGCAATTATGTCTAAAAATACAGGAAACATTGATAGTTAAAAAGTCAATAGGTATCTATAGCCATTCACACATTGAAGGAGATTTACTAAAGCAGGTTAACTCAGAATCTGGAGCACGTGTTAATAGTAGCCAGTCAGCTTCTAACCCCAGCTTGTTCAATTAAGCTTTGGCAATAAAACTTGGAAGCTGATTGGTTTTTATGCAGAAGTGCACCTGATTTTGCACACTCCAGCTTTAGTAAATAAACCCCATTGTTATAGAAATGGTGGATGTCTGGATGTCGATTCAAAGGAGAAGGAAAATGGTGGTGAAGTAGTTATGCTAGAAGGCAGAAGGAGGACCTATTTATCATGGAAATGTATCATAGATTCGTACATATTAAGAAAAGGCCCTTTCTATGTGCATTAGCGAACAAAAGGGACTGGCTGAGAGCACCGGTTTAGATCTACTACTGTGTAGTTCAGGGCGGCGCTCCATCAGCACTGGAAGAACTGTGACCAAGCTGTCACAATGATTGGGAGATGATAGGATGGGTCCCTGATGCCATCATCACTGTACAGCTAATAACAGAAGGATGGGGAACCTCGCCTACCAGCCTTTGGCATCAAAGCCCATTTAAATCTAATTTTTATTTATTTTTTACACCAGCCAGCCTCCCCCCCCATGCAGGAATGAAGTTGCCTAGGCAAGAGTGTCGGCCCCTACTTCTGCAGCCTTCTGGAATATCCCTGTCACATACACTATATTTCCAAAAGTATTGGGACACCGGCCTTTACATGCACATGAACTTTAATGGCATCCCAGTCTTAGTCCGTAGGGTTCAATATTGAGTTGGCCCGTCCTTTGCAGCTATAACAGCTTCAACTCTTCTGGGAAGGCCGTCCACAAGGTTTAGGAGTGTGTCTATGGGAGGTTTGACCATTCTTCCAGAAGTGAGGTCAGGCACTGATGTTGGAGGAGAGAAGGGCTGTCTCCCAGTCTCTGCTCTAATTCATCCCAAAGGTGTTCTATCAGGTTGAGGTCAGGACTGTGCAGGCCAGTCAAGTTCCTCCACGTCATGCTGGAACAGGAAGGGGCCATGCCCAAACTTTTCCCACAAAGTTGGGAGCATGAAATTGTCCAAAATGTCTTGGTATGCTGACTCCTTAAGAGTTCCCTACACTGGAACTAGGGGGCCAAGCCCAACCCCTGAAAAACAACCCCACACCATAATCCGCCCTCCACCAAATTTTACACTTGGCAATGCAGTCAGGCAAGTCCCATTCTCCTGGCAACTGCCAAACACAGACACGTCCATCGGTTTGCCAGACAGAGAAGCGTGACTGGTCACTCCAGAGAACACATCTCCACTGCTCTAGAGTCCAACACCACACACTGCATTGCATTACACTTGGTGATGTAAGACTTGGATGCAGCTGCTCGGCCATGGAAACCCATTCCATGAAGCTCTCGATGCACTGTTGTTGTGCTAATCTGAAGGCCACATGAAATTTGGAGGTCTTTAGCTATTGACTCTGCAGACAGTTGGTGACTTTTTCACACTGTACGCTTCAGCATGCGCTGACCCCGCTCTGTCATGTGACGTGGCCTACCACTTGGTGGCTGAGTTTCTGTTGTTCCCAGTTGCTTCCACTTTGTTTATAATCCCATTAACAGGTGACTGTGGAATATTTAGTAGCCAGGAAATGTCACGGATGGACTTATTGCACAGGTGACAACCTATCACGGTACCACACTTGCATTCACTGAGCTCCTGAGAGCGAACCATTCTTTCACAAATGTTTGTAAAGCAGTCTGCATGCCTAGGGGATGATTTTATACACCTGTGGCTCTGGAGGTGATTGGAACACCTGAATCCAATGATTTGGAGGGGTGTCCCAATACTTTTGGCAATATATCTCAGGAGGCTACAGGAACATGCAGCAACTTGAGGCTGGACCTGGTGGCGCATTATTGGGGGATGGCTGCAAGAACCCAAAATAGACAGCCGGAAAGATGGGTGAAGAGAAAATGGTGGTGCGGGACATGGCGAGTGGCAGCAGATGTGGGACAGCACTCCAATTTGCTGACAAAATGGTAAGAGAGGATAGAAAAAAAAGCACTTGATGTTCCTCTTTAAGTGGTAGGGAGGAGAGGACAGGCAGAATAGAATATTCTTTATGTCCACTTTATTATACCATTATTTTATTTGATTTGCAGGTGCAATTTTAATTTAATTTGTTATCATGTTTAACAGAAAGTACAAGATTGCCCCACATTTACTGTATTTTATTTTGAAATTGTGCTTTTCCACCCACGTGTGTGGGATATTCACAGTAAGTGAACTGAGAAATGAAAGCATCTGTTTACACCAAAGAAAAACTCATAATCTAGGATTAACTCTAGTTAGGACAAAGTTTCCAAATTGCATCCAGGTGTCATCAAACTGCTTAGCTATGGAAATTCTGCAAACTGTCCTTGTCCTGGTGTTCTGAGAACAGTTTGAAGTCTTCAGTTTTAAATTATGGACCAAATGTTCCCGAATTAATCTCTTGTAGGCTCACTCTGTGCTCTTTAGGCTTTGTCATTGGGCATGGTAATGTGACAAGGTCAGTATGGAAAATTTCCAATTTTTTTTTATGGGGTTTTAAGAATCGTTTTTTTTTTTAATTGGTTTTCATTTTAATCTTTACAATCATTATTTTAGATCAAAAGAAGTAATTTTTTTCTCCTTTTTTTTATTGAAACAATGCTGTTCCCACAACCACAACCACCTGCACAGAAAAATGTAGCAGATGTGAGCGGGTGCCATTAATCCTAATGGCATGCCGCATGCACTGGAAATTGCTTCTGCAATGGGAATCGCACTGTCCTTGTGGTTACTGCATGGGCTGAGATTTCTAAAAATGCTGCAGGAACCTTTTCCCTGCATTTCAGGAGCCTGCGCAAAACACGGCTCGTAGAGACGCATCATTGTGAACTTAGCCTAACAGTGCAAGTGGATAAATCCCTCTGCTAGCTATTACATTCTGACCAATGCCAGAGTACCCAAACAGCAGTTGCATCTGATTGGATGCAGCCACTATTTGGTCAAAAATTTTATCAAAGTCCACTTTTTTTAGTGTAATAAGCCTGGCAGGGCCACCCACTGTGAATTTTGGCTTGTTCTATTGGAAGGGGCCAGAAATTTGCTCAGTGTATGGCCAGCCTCAGGTGACATGCAGACGGTAGTGTAGAAGACAAAGAGAAATCCAATTCAAGTCTAGATGTTAAATGTGAATGGCTGCGCACTCTCAGCCTAATAGGATAAGTATAGCTAAAGTACATGTAAAATAGTGGCCTGCTAATGGCCCCTTATCAGGGGCGGACTGACCATTCGAGCACTCGGGCACTGCCCGAGTGCCCGGGTCAGTAGGGGGCCCCATGAAATGCCCCTGGTACCTTTTTTATAGGCTTTTTTGGGTGTGCTTTGAGTGTGGGCAAGGACACAGGGGCCCCATGATCCCCTATTGTCTGGGGGCCCCATGAGTTGTCAGTCCGCCCCTGCCACTTATACAGATTTTAGATTATGGCTTCATCAGATTTCTACGCTGATTGAGTGACACAGAATAAAAATGTCCTGCCCTTATGTCTCTCACCTGTTTCTCTCCATAATATAGTGCATTTCGACAAATCCCAGGCACCAGTTCGCCATGACGACTAGAAATAGCATCCTGGCGCCTGGGCTTTTGTCTGCCCATTCACTGTTGCAGGGATGCACAATTTGTATCGCCCGATGCCCAGGACATGCGGTCCTGGGTGCCAGGCAGGTAGGTTTTTTTTTTCTACATTTAGCCCTGCTGAGGGCAAGCAGCAGGGCTCACTTGTCAGGTGGAAGCATTCGTGTGGCTCCACTGCTGCCAGATTGCTTCCACACACATGGGTAAAGTGAATCCCCACCCAGCAAGCCCCCTGCTATGTATCCTGGGCTCCGTTTGCCCATTTGCAGGCTCAGGACTGGTATAGCGAGCACCACAGGGTAGAGAAGAGAGCAGACACGTGTCCACTCCCCCCCCCATCTTGTTCCTGACCCGGAAGCCACGTGTATGACGTCACTTCTGGGTCCCTGTTGAAAGTTTCCCTGGTCAGCATGGCCTAAAAAGAATGTAACACAGTGCGATCTGCACTGCATTACATTCAGTGGAGCACACAGGGGAGACCGTCTCATTAAAGAGAACCCTTCACAATTCTCAAAATTATCACATAGGGGACTTTTTGTTCCCTACCTGTTGAAAAAAAAAAAGTTAAGCAAAAAAAAAAATTTTAATTGTAAAAAATTTAAGTTACACCCAAGCACATAAAATCCCCCCCAAAAAGGTTTGAGCCCCCCCCCCACACACACACATATATACGCATGTGCAAATGTAAACACACGCGTTGAAAATGTTGATTGGGATACACATGTGACATATTGCTGTGCACACCAGAATGACAATTCTAGCAACAGACCTCCTCTGTAATGCTAAACTGATGACCTATAGGGGGCTTTTGAAGCATCACCTATAGAAAATATAGGGTACTAAAGTTTGGCTTCTAACTTTTTTAGCTGGCTCCTAGATTCAAAGCAAATTTTTCAAGCCCTGATATTGTGGGTGCATTTTTTGACAGCTAAGGCAATAAAAGCAGCAGTAGGGGAGTGCTGGCATGCTGAGTATCAGTCCAAGGCAGGGGTCTGTAAATGTTCTAAGCAAAGGACCAGTTTACTGTCCTTCAGGCTTTAGGGGACCTGTATTGTGGCAAGTGTGAGTAAACAATGCCCCATTGTTGGTATCAGTGGGAAAAAATAAAATTCCATCTGTCATGGTCAGGAGTCAGGCTCAGAGACCAGTAACTATAGCAGTACAAAGGATTCCACCGACCAACAGGATAAGTATACAAGTATGTCACCCTGGCGAATGATGTGGGTTCACCTGGGCTGCGGAGTCTAAGTACTAACGGGTATTCATCTGATGATGGAGATGGGTTTTGCTGTCTGTGCCGTCCTCAGGATCGCCCCACCTGGAGGTGGTCTAGTAGCAAATATAGCAGGTAGGGATAAGCAGAAGGGTGGTCAGTAAATAAGCCAAAGAGTTGGTGACAAGTGGTTGCAGGTTGGGATCAAGCGGAAACGCAAAGGTTAGTAACGAGTCGTAGCGAACTTACGGACAGCAAAGTAGTTGCAAGAGTGAGATAATGGCATCATCTCAGGTGGCTCAGCAAGAAGAGACAGACACAGCAGAGGTTGCAGGTTTAGATCTAGGTCCTGACACCTTCATTGGTGTCTGTTGGAGGCTTAGTGCCCCCAAAGGCCAGATAAAGGCATGCAAAGGACCACATGCCTACCGCAGTTTGGAAATCCCTGGTCTAAGACAACGTTAAGGATGAAGTTAAGACTGCAGCAGGCCTTACCTAGCACCTGAGTGTTATGAAAGCTGCAGGTCCTCATTAGCCTGATTAGTCCTCGTTCACATGGGCGTACTACAGCGTACACCCGTGTGAGGACAGTGTTCACCTTCACAGGGATGCACAGGTGTTCCGTGCATCCCCATGCATGCAGTCCCATTCATGTCAATTGGAAACGCAAAAGTTGCATGAAACACAGTCGCTGCTCCCAATTTGACATCCATGCGGGTGTGGGTGTGCAGACCCAAGCATGCATGGGGCTGTGCACTCGCATAGATGCCAAATTGGGAGCAGTGGCTATGTCCATGCATCTGCTGTCTTCCCAATTGACATGAATGGGACTGCCTGCATGGGAATGTATGGAACCTTTTCTTTTTCAAACAAATTTCACCTAAGCAGATTAATGGGCAAAAAAAGTTTCCACTTCAACAAAATTTTGCCATGAGTCTTATCATGGCAAACTTATGCCATAATCCCTCATTTTGCGCAGATTTCGATTTGAGGTCAGGGCACAGATACCAACCTTTAGTTCTATCTTCAAACCGCCCCTCCCCCCCTTCATATTCCCTTTGCTGAATATAGTGCTTCTAAGCACAATGTACATTGATGAATAAATAATTCATTATAAGCATGTCTACGTAGGAGCCAATGGCATAAACTCCATCAGTCTATAGAATGCTTAGAAAGTTTCCCTTAATTTGCTGCTTCTCGTATGAGCCGGCTGCTTTTGTCAGCTCATTTTTTTTCCTCTACCTATTGTACGTTGCAGCAGCATGAAGGCACTAATGTGTTCATTTCATTTCTGCTTGTTCTGTGTTTCTGCTCTCCGGCTTCCTCTTCTTCATCTGCTAAGATTTTACAAATACCCAGCGTCCTGCTGGCTCCTGCATTGCAAGTTTTTCTTTTCTTATTTTTTTATTTGGCTTTTGTTCATTAACATCTCAGGAAATGCTTCCTCTGGGTTTAAAGAACCAATCTTGACTTGAAGTTTATGTAAGGGTCTGAATATTCGTCACACATCTATTGCAACTATGCAGGCGTACGTATTAAATATTTATTGTTATCCCCTTATTTCGCTTTCATTCCATCATTGAGCTTAACAATTCAGATTGAGTATGGGGGTCAGAGGTCACTTAAAGTCAAAGTTGATACTACGCACACCCAGGGGTGGACTGACAACTCATGGGGCCCCTGGGCAATAGGAAATCATGGGGTCCCTGTGTCCTCGCCAACACTCAAGCCACACCCAAAAAAAGCCTGTGAACGGTATCAGGAGCATCTCATGGGGCCCCCTACTGACCCTGGGCCCTGGGGCAGTGCCTGAGTAACCAAATGGTCAGTCCGCCCCTGCGCACACCTCATTTGCTGTCCTGGTGAGTGCCCAATTTGACAGTTTGTCATTCTTCTTAGAAAGCAGCCACAGCCTGAGTAAAAAAAAAACATTATTATTATTTATTATTATTATACAGTATTTATATAGAGCCAAAAAGTTTGCTC